AGGATCTTATTGGATTAGGTCAGATGTAAAAGCTTTCTTAAGCTTCACTTTAGGCGGATGGGGTTCTATGACCTTTTGTTATAATAACTTTAAAGCAGGAGTCTAGCTCCAATTGTTAGTACATAAAAAGTGATCTGCTGGTTTACCGTTGAGTCCTCCATGGGAAGACGTCCATGTCAACCTCGCTCGCCTCGTCAGCGGTTTTCTCCAGGATGCAGGAGGGAGAGAGAAGGTGGAGTCCGCGGTGTCCCAAAGACGATGATGGTGCACTTTAACACAGCAATTATAGAGTCCATCCTCTGCTCCTCCATCACCGTCTGGTACGCTGCAGCAACAGCCAAGGACAAAGGCAGGCTGCAGCGTGTCATCCGCTCTGCAGAGGGTTATCGGCTGCAATCTGCCGTCCCTCCAGAGCTCAAAAGATCGTAGCCGACCCCTCTCACCCTGGACAAAATTTTTTTGTGCCCCTTCCATCTGGCAGGAATGAACATGAAGTCCCTTTCAATGTTTGCTATATATTAAAAAGACATTAATTATACATCAATAAAGAATCATTTATTCGTACCTTTCATAGACTATTGCCAGTACCTCCCCTCGTGGCTGACAAGGTCCTATGTGGAAAGAAGTGGATTGTGCCACTTTGTGGCTCGATGGGAATTGTGAAATTTGCTTAGGAAGCTTCCGAACTGAGTGAAATTACCCAGTGTAAGTGGTGTCACGACCGGAAGTGTATATACAAAAGAAAAGAAAATCACTCTCAGCAGAGGGAAAAAAACCCTATACTAAACCTAAAAACAAAAAAAGGATCTAGAAAATAAACACTAGGCTGAAAAAGGAATGAACAGAAAGCGAGCCGGAACAGTACAAAAAATGTAGCAAGACTTGGCAATGGACATGGGTAAACACGGGTTCTCTTTAACATGGGACAAGACCAACTGGCACAGGACAAACGGAGACGCAAACAATATATACAGACAGAGTAAAGGCACAGGTGGAAACGATCAGGGGCAGGGCAGACAATCGGACTGGCACACAGGGGGAAGGACCAAGTTGCCTGAAAAGAAGCTTAATTTTCAAAATAAAACAGGAAATCACCAGACAACATAGACACTACACAACCTGATCAGCACCACTTCTTGGACATGACAAGTGGCCGCCATGATAGGAGTTGTTCGAATGATCGAATGCTAAGGAAAGGAGCTTCAATGCTTCCCTAGTTAGCTCTTTTAGCATAGGAACAACTAGACCATCATTTACAAAAGGAAAGGAGATAATAATGTATATTGAACCTTGTTAATAAAGTACTTCTTTGAACCCGGTTGTCAAATGAATCAGCACTATAACAACACATGGACGAAGGCAACTAAGATGCGCTTCTTTGTAGTCTTCGGAGAAATTGTAGTTTTGCCGCTGCAGACTGACGTCACTAACATGCGTCTCAGTAGTACATAGCTTAGTGAAAGTGGAGTCAGATTCCCTAAACACTGGAGTTGGCTTTTCCTAACTCCACATGAATTCTCTTAACCATCTTTCCTTGACCCTGTGATGTTTTCCACCAAGGCGAAGGAATAGTGATTAGGAATAGACGTTAGTAGGTATTTATTTAACAATTCAAATGTAGCATGTGTTTTTCCGGGGAGGCTGCCGATGGGGGCGCTGTCCATGGTGCTGAATATGGATTCTCTTCTGATCATATAGACGGCTGTCTATGTGATGTTATTATATGCAGATCTCTATCCGTTTTCCATCTATCTCTCAATCTATATATCTATTTTTGTCGATACACAACATTTTTCAAGACTGAAAGCCTACAAGAACATTGTGGCCTTGGTAAAATGTGAGTGCTTCAGTGACGTTGTAGTGGACTATATACAGTGGAACACAGTGCTGCGGACTGTTCTCAACAGACCAACACAGCACATTAGCTCTGCACTGCTGTGTGTGTGTGCTTGTGTGTGTGTGAGAGAGAGAGAGAGAAAGAGAGGGAAGCAGAAGAGATGATGAGGGGAGGTTGAGATGAAATGGAGAGAATACACCGTGTGAGAAAAAAAATAGAGGGAGAGAGAGAGAGAGAGAGAGAATTGGGAGAGCACTAATGATTTGACGGTCTGCAGTCTTTTCCCCCCATTTTGTGGAGCTCAGCAAATACTCGTTCTGCTTCTGGCCTCTCTCTCTCGCTCTTTCTCGCTGGTGGTGGAGGGAGAGAGAGAGAGAGTGTGGGGGGAATAGGCGGTGGGCATGCAACACTCTATCATACCCCTCATGCTCCACTCTAATCGAGCAGAGTGTTTTAGTAAATTGAAAGACGGTGTGGAGTAAGGTAGTGATGCAGCAGAGAGCGAGAAAGAGAGAGCGGGGAGAGAGGGAGGGAGATGAAGGAGGTATCGAGAGGACACAAGAGAGCTTTGATGAAGGAGACTCATTTCCATGCACGACACCAATCCAAATCTTGAATGAGTGTTGAGGTACTGGCACTCCTTTTCCGGATTCTTCTTTTGCATGGACGTTTCTTTGACTGCATATACAATACGTATGATGGATGGTTTTATCACCCACAACACAAAAAAATAAATAAAAATCCTGATACCAAAATTATTTCTATAATTTGAAACATGGAAAGAAACAGTTTTACAGAATGAGCAGCTTTAAGTACATGTTAATGTTAATACGTCTTGACATTTACGGTAAAATGCAATCTGCACCAGTTCAAATAGCCTGTGTAGGGCTTCATAAATTCATCACTAAGTTCTAACCTAATGGTTTCACCAGTGAAGCTTCACAAACGTCTAAGAAAAGACTTTCGTGATGTGTAAATATGTTGCTTGGGTCTGGCCAATCAAATATGTGACCTTACCAGGAAGTCCCACTGGCATCCCAAACTAAGGTTTGAGTTGATTTGACTTCACTTATTGTAATTTAATACCAGTGGTCGTTTTGTGAAGTGTCCTTTCCAACATTTGCATTTTGTCCCAAAACCTCTATGTTTCCAGTCATGTATGCTGTAATGTCTCTTTAACTTATTCTATTAAACAGGTAAAGTTTTATCAGGCTAACGTTAGCTCCTTAAGTTGGTTCAGTTTGCTTTGCAACAGATATACCCAGCAGTTAGTGATGGCAGATGTTTAGTTACAACTCAGCTGTGTGTGAGAACTATTGGAGAAAGCCTAGTTGTGTAAATGAAGCTGTGTTTAGTCTGGTAAGTGTCCTTAAGTGCTGTCAATTGACTCAGGGTCTATTGGAGATGACAACCTCCAGTTTGATAGTGAGGGAGTGCGGAGTCTCAAAGTCACTCTTTATTGTTTTTGTTTGTCTGTAATAATCACAAACAATAACCTATCGCTAAGGTAATGTTTGCTGACAAATCAGTGATCATGCTTTAATGAAAAAATAGACCCGATTAAAGGAACAAAAATTGTTTATCCACTGAGTGGATTGGCAGGAGGCGATCGAGCCACGGAGAAACTCTGGCTGATCCTTTCTGGGCAAAAGTACATAATATTAAGTGGCAGAGGGTGAAATGCAGTGATATAAATGGATCCTTGACGGCATGCACTCTTGTAAGGCGCCGTGCATCCAGGGTCAGAAGACAGGATTGGGACCAAGCGTCATCCTCCGGGTACGGCTCAACCCTCTAAGCTAGTATGTTTTAGGAGCACTGTTGACATAGGTTGTTATCATGTGAGCAATGACTTATGAGACTGCCGCTGGAAAATACAACGTATGTGGCGAATGACAATAGACGGTATATGAGAAGTTGACATATTGTGATGCCACCCATTGCTTTGTGGATTGACGTTGTTCGTTATTTCCCCTCGCCTTGTTAGGTTACTGTTGTCCCATAATGTTTTTTTACCAAAAGTAAATACGTTACTATACTTGGAATCAGGAGGAGTGAAGTACAGACGCAGTAAACAGCTCTGATAGGGCATCAACCTGTGAATCCCAGTAGCCCCGCGCTTCAGCATATTCATGTTCACGGATTAATTGACTCTAAATGGACTATAATTCACTAAATGGACATCATGCTATATTGAATAAGATTTGAAATAATGTTTACAGAGATGATAAATCAACGAAGAAGTGGCTATTTTCTTCATACTGTCAGACTTCTTTCTCGAAGAAGGAGCCGGCCCCTGATGGTCACTAGAGAGACCTGACAGCAATTCATAGGACTAACGTGGCCGGGTCAACATTGGGGTTAGCTGAAAGTGCGGTACATCAACACGAGATGCTGAAGGACCCTCTGTATTTAACGAGCAGGGGGGAGGCCGGAGTGAATGTACACCAAGCAGTATCGGACACCGACACATTGTTTTTACATTATTAGTTTTCTCAGTAACCAGCAGTTTTCCAGAAGCGAACATATCACAGTTGAGAGGAAAAATGCAATTTAGTGAGTTGGAACTAAACGACCAAGTAAACATGCCTCAGGTGCATGTGTGACCAGGAGGGAGATGAAGAAATAGCCGCAGCTCAACTAAGCAGTAAGCACTGAAATCCGCTCACTCTTTCCTTTGAAACTGTCAGACACACAGTTGGCATATTCTGATTGCAACATGACAATCATGACAATGCTCAAAAGCAAACATGTCAGTGACAGTGTCAGTGTTTTTGTTATTTTCTGTATTTGAGGCCGTTACTGTAAAAAAAAAAAAAAAATTAATTATAGTTTCTATCCTTTTCTCTGCATCCAGTTCACTAATTGTTACTTGTTTTCTGTTCAGTCCAAGGATGCAGAAGATCCACAATATGAATATATTTGCTTCGCAGTTGGACAATAACGTCAAATGATGCGGTAATATTAATTCAATCAGTCAGTCAATCTGTCAGATTCAGCGGGAAACTATTGATTCATAAAATCCGCGGCCCACATATTCTCTTTCGCTCTCTCTCTCTCACACACACACACACACACACACACACACACACACACACACACACACACACACACACAGGTGCAGACTCCTCCTCTCCTCTCCTCTCCTCTCCTCTCCTCTCCTCTCCTCTCCTCCTCTCAGTTGGCCCTGTGACTCCTTGCCGGGACGGTATAACAGTAGTCTACCGAGCGAGGGACCAGGCGGTGGATGGGGACGGGCAGTAGCCGCAGCAGCAGCAGTCGGGCGCACCGACTGAAGCATGCTCCAGTGCAGTCATGACTTGCTCGGCGTCAGATAGCGAGAAGATCGTGATCAACTGCGGTGGTATCCGACACGAGACCTACCGGAGCACCCTGAAGACGCTACCGGGCACGCGCTTGTCTTGGCTCACCGAACCCGACGCCTACAGCAACTTCGACTACGATCCCAAGTGCGACGAGTTCTTCTTTGACCGCCACCCGGCTACCTTCGCCTTCATCCTCAACTACTACCGCACCGGTAAGCTCCACTGCCCCAACGATGTGTGCGGACCGCTCTTCGAGGAGGAGCTTGCCTTTTGGGGCATCGACGAGACGGACGTGGAGGCGTGTTGCTGGATGAACTACCGGCAGCACCGCGACGCCGAGGAAGCCCTGGACAGCTTCGAGCAACCCGAGCCGGACGCGCCGGATGACGACCCCGCGCTCACCGGCGGGGCGGACGGTGATCTGAAGCGACTGTGCATGCAGGAGGACGGTCGGAGGACGACGTGGTGGGAAAACTGGCGACCCTTCATGTGGGCGCTGTTCGAGGACCCGTACTCCTCCAAATACGCGCGGGTGAGTAGCAGGACAAGTACCCCCCCCTCTCCCCCATTCGCATTTTCTCCTTCTTTCTTTTTCCTCTAATTGTGCAGCTGTTCGTTGTTTGGCACATGTCCACTGCGCATTGTTGCGCGTAAGACTACCCTCTAAAAGTGTTTTGTAGGAGGAGGAGAAGGAGGAGGAGGAGGGGGAGGGGGTTGGGGGGGATGTCAAATTCACTGCAGTGTTTCTCCCTTCCTCTCTGTGTTTTCCCATCCCTTCTCCCCTCCACTGGTCTTTCTTTTTAATCTCTCCATCGCATTATCGCGTGAAGGTTTGACCACTGCCGATGCGTCAGTGCGCATCTGTTCAGCCATCTCTCTGTCCCTCTCTCCACTCAGTGTCTTTATGTCTTTGTTGGGTTAGAATACTGCCACGCCAGTTTTCTGCACTAACCGTACACATGTTTTACAATAATGTACTTAATCACAGACATCCAGGGGGGACTCCAAATGTTGGGTTGTTGGGTTGTGTCTTCCCTTTCTCATATATGTTAGATGAAACAAAACTAAAGCCTCTGCCTCACACTGGATCCAATAGCATGCTGGGTTGTTTGTGCGTGTGAGTGTGTTACTCTTTTCTCACAGTGCGCTGGCAGATTGCCAGAGATGTGTGTGTGTGTTCAAATTCATAATGGTGCAAACGCTGTTGCGCCATAAAACAGTTCTTGTCCTGCAGCATGCATCACTTTGTTTCTCTACTAGAACGACATGAACGCCGGCTTCTAGGTATTAAGAGTTAACATATGTAGAGCTGGTTTAAATCTGAGCGGCACTGGTTTACAGGACAGATGGTGAATCGTTTATAGCGACAAAAAATGGCCCAGGAGAAACGCAGGACATAATGTCCTATTCATGCAGTAAAGTGAAAGGTAAGGTCAGGGTAGTGTTTTGGCGTGCAGCTCATACTTTATTGCAATAGTCCAACGGTTAAAGGGTAGCCGATGGCTACACCTTTGGCTTCTCCCAGACTCTGGCTTCCAGTCCAAGGTGGAGGCTTTGGGTTGGTGCAGAGTTGGTGGAGTTGCAGTGTGTGACAACGCAGGGGGTCAGGGATGGAACACGGGTAGCGGAAGATGGACACAGACTCTCAGGCTTCAGCCAAATCCAGGCTTCCATGTTGATGAACCAATTGCCAGCTGTTTCAGTACGGATACAGAGTATCAATAGCTTCCAGCGCTTGATTAATAAGCTGTGTGCGTGGAGGTGACAATGATAATTTGCTTTCTTACCCTTGTAAAACCAATACAACATGTGTGTGTATATATATATATATATATATATATATATATAATATCAGTACGTAGACATATGTACGTAGACATCCGCACAGAGACAGCCTGTTGATGGCTTTCCCCCAACAAAATAATTATTTGTTGACTGACACTCATATGGTCGTAAACAGATCCCTATGACCCTATGAGGATTTTGCATCACACAAAAACACGACTTTAAATCTTAAATCTAAGTCATCATGAAAAAAACTCATTCACTAAAGAGATCCTGACTGAGGCTAAAACGAGTGTTAAGTCAACTCATCAACTAAGAGCGGACAGCACTGATATTGACTCTGGGAACTAAGCTGGAAACACATACACTGAGGTGTGCACATGACAATTGTACACACACACAATACCATTTGTCCACTACACAAGTACAAGAACCTGAGGTTAAGGTGAAGCATGTTTCAACCCGTTCTACCCTAAAACAATGCCCTACTTTCATGACTCTGCACTTTTGGCCTAATCCCTACATTCCGTGTCAGTGTAGGAAGTAGTTTGCTCTTTGGGCACCAAAGCAGAAAGTCAGCATGTGCGTGGATAACATGTTAAGTCTTTTTTTTTGTAATTTCACGGACTCCCTGTAGACAAACACGTGCCACATGAACTGCAACTACCGATTCTGCCGTTCATCTGTATGTACCACAGGTACGTGTGCACGGGAGAGCCACAACTGACTGATTCAAAAGTTCTTAGACAACGCAATTACTTGGGTGTGTCTTTGTTCACGTAAAAGACAGCTAAAAGACACACAGGGAGATGGGTGAGTCGCACCATGAGAAATGTTTCAGCCAGGAGGCTGCTGCTCTTTATGGTTGAAACATGGATTTTGTTGTGACTTAACTTCAGCACTTTAGTATCATCCCTTCCATGGTTATGTTAACTCAAGAGATGATCCATTCCTCAATCTAACCAAGTAGTTTGCATGAGTGTCCTGCGAAGAGAGAAGTTTATTCTGATGACAACTATCAAATATCTCATTCTGTAACACGCCAAAAGTAAACTCCAACAATAAAGCCTCAGAGTGGATGTGGAGGCATTTGGTTTCCGACCGTCGACATGGAGTAGAGAGGGTGCCCCGGGAACCGCAGTGTTGGTGGTTCGAACCCTGCCTGCTTCATGTCCCATTTCGAAGTGTCCCTGAACAAGACACCCAACCCCTAAACTGCTCTCCGGGCGCCCTTGGGGCAGCACACGACTCCCACTGTGTGGGATGGGTTAAAAATGTAAACCATGGGTTGAAAATGCAATGTAAGTCGCTTTGGATAATGCGTTAGCTAAATGACATGTAATGTAATGTAATGGTCAAAGTGGTCGTAGTACTGCGTGCTACTGCGTGTTACTGGTGTTGTCCATGCAGCAGTGGGGGTGGAGGAGGGGGTTGGAGTTGGTAGTCGGCAGTAGGTCTGTGGGGCATGTCAGCACATCACAAGGGGTGTAGGTCTTCAACATGGGTTGAGAACCACAGGTTTACATGCTTCAGCATGAGGAGTGTGAACTTGCAGCATCACAGGAGGACAATGCGGCTGCATCTCTAGAAAGCCTTCTTTACATCTGACGGGTCAGAGAAGGGAAATAGCAGCAAAGGAAGCGATCGAAGGAACAAATGTAAAAAAAAAAAAATTGAATGCTGGTGACATGGGGGGTGGTATAGTATGACAGCTGAGGTGACTTTGAAAGTGTTGCAGTCAATAGTTTTCAGTGCCAGTGCGGGGACATAAAGATGTGGGACAGGCAGGTAGGCTGAGGTCAGGCGGCCGGCTGGGTTTTTAGCTGTTGGGGAAAGAACGTTGAATGTCAGAAGAAAAAAAATGAATCACAGGTTTGATGATGACGCCGTTCATTATGAATACAGGCATCATCGGCAAGTTAGCGTGGTTTTCCCAGATATTCCTTTTTTTTCTACACCCCCCCAGCGCCTATACCGTTCCTCTTTCCCTCCGTCATCACTACGGATAGCTTGCGCTGCTTTATTACTGCGAGTTCAGAGCTGCTTCAGAGTGCTGGATTGCTTATTATCGCTATTCAGCCCTACCCCCCCCCACCCCCCACACACCTTCCTCCTCCTCTGGTTCTGTCCTGCTCTCAGCTTGTGCTATAGCGTAACACTGCAGTCCCCGTAGTAGCTGACTGTGCTCTAGTCTGCTGCAGAGAAGGAGGGAGAGAGACAGAGAGGGGAGGGGAGGGGGTGACTGGATGAGAGGATGTGCTGTGCGTGTTTGTCGAGAGGAATTCAGAGCAGGAAGCAGTAGAGGAAGATGGTGAAGAAGAAGATTAGGATGGGGGTCACTTTCTGTACAACCCCACTGATTTACCCTTTTTCTGCGGAGATGGGCACGCTGCGATTCTCGTATCCGTTTATTGATCGGGCTCTGCAAGCCTCATTCAGGTGAATGTCTCCGCTGAATGGTGCTGCTCTGTAAGCAAAACCTTGCCACACACACATTCCTCCCATCTATCCCCCTCTTGCTCCCTTTCCCTCTCTCTACGTTCATCCATCCACACAGCAGGGTGCAGTGGCAATTCACAGCCCCTCAAGGAGGGAAACAAAACTCCAACACAGTAGGAACACACACACACACCTCCACTGGCTCTTCCACACTCACTCTGTCTCCCGCCACACGTGGCCAATTGCAGTCCAGCTAATGTCCTTTTGACTTCATTTTCAGGGGCTGAAGTTTGTTTTTGTTCATCATCATTATGCTGTCTGTCCTGGTGTAGTACTTAATCCTGCCGTTAGGCGGGCAGAAAGATAAGCCAACCCAGGTCCTTTCAGCACTTATAACACTGACGTATACCTGATGTGGCCAGTGGTAAGGTGTCCTTACCATAAAAAACAACACACAGCAGCTTCATCACGTTTCTTTCAAAAGATCAAAAAGATTTGTTGATTTCAGCGGTTCTGGATGCTGATAGGGACCATTGCTTCAGGCAGCTAAAGCAACAATGACTAATATTCCTACATTAATATTGGAATGAATCCTACGAACATATTTCACAATTAAAATTGATTATAAACAGTTCAGTTCATCATGTACTGTAAAAACAAAGTAATCAGGGATCTCCAAAAGCTATATTTGCTCCCTTTTTTTCTTTTGTGCTGTTCCGATCTGTGACTGATACGTGATGAGTTTTCTGATCTCTTGCACCACTACTGCCCGTGCTGCAGTGACATTGAGTCGGTTGAAACCAAAGTTCCCCTTGCAGGAATTCAATGTCATCTCATTTGATTGGCCTATTGTTGTAAAATCCCCTGAATAGCGGATTCAATTATTTGAAACTGATACAGACAATGCAACGTTCTGACCTCCATTTTGCTGTGACTGTAATATGTGCGGGGCTTGTCGTGAGGAAAGCCTTTTAGCTTTTTGTAGATCTTTTTTTGTTTGATTTGAGATGACCACAAAACGTTCAAATCAACCCTCTTTTCTAGTTAAAAGAACTGTTAAACTCACCATACACAACCTTATCTGCAACCAACAGCAGAAAGACTAAATTAGAAAGTAGTTGCTAAAATGAAGGTCCAGAGGTGCTAGTAACTTACAGATACTTTACGGCTGATCTACCGTTATTTAATGTACATAGTATTAGTGTTGCACAGTGTACCGATACTAGAAAGGTACTGCGGTACCCTTACGTTGAAAACAATATGGTTTTGACACTTTTTAGTACCGGTACTTTAAAAAAAGCATGCAAT